AGATATTTAATTCCATGGGTTCTGAATTTTCTCTGTATTTGTAATTATTATTTTAATTAAGCATCATTGGATTTTTTTCATTACTGCTTTTCCTCAAAAATCAATTTCTCAGAAATACTGAAGAGATACATACCTCCAATTTTTAAATATACAAAAATCCAAACCGATAGATGATCTGATGGCACAAGGATTAGACAGAGTGCAACTGTTCATAAATCCAAATAAAATATTCAATTTCACATTTTATAGCTATGTTATGGAATCTTTTTTATATAATTGATAAATTTTGATCACATAAAAAAATAATTTTAAAAATACAGGACTGTTTTCAGGTTATATCATGCTGGGTTGTACTAGAGGGTGGTTATTAATTTGGATTTTGAAGTTTTTTTTTTCCCCTGTTACACCAGCGGTCTCAATAGCATTAGCAGTTTCAGAGTCTTGCTAACACTATGAGTATAGTGAACACACTATGCTCTCTGTTTCTGTGCTTAATGCCATCAGTTTCTAGGACTCAAGTGTTAAAATAATCAGCAGATTGTTGAGCAGAATTAGTTTGTTACTCCCCTTCAGCTCTTTACTAAAAGGAGCTAAATACAAAAATATTCTGCTTTATATAGCTTCTTTCCATAGGCATTTACTCCATTTATCTGAGGACACCTATGCAGTCATGAGGAGGAAGATCTGACCATGCAGTTGTGAATGGAAGAGGTAGGTGTGTCAGAATGTGTTTTAAAACACAGCCCAGGCTGTGAAAAATCCTGAAAAATGCTGACTTTGAAAGTCAATATTAATTGATGCCCTGCAAAATACATCATAAATCTGATAGTGCTGGAGAGCTAACCCTGAGGTAATAATGCCACTTTACAGTATGAAACATTTCACAAATATTAGAACAGTCTCACAAGGCCTTTGCTCCTGTTTGGTCTTTTGGGACTCTTCCAGCAACTAATGGCATTTGGTTTCATAGGCTGGTTTCTTAGATCCACAGAAGATTGCTTTCTATTTAGGCTTTGAACTATAGCATTTTTTCCTCACTAGCCATGATTTCTCCTTCAGCAAATGTAGAAAATCAGCTGCTCAGGAGTGAAGATAAAAGTCTTTTGCTCTTTGGGTTTCAGTGAAAGTCTGCAGGAAGCTCAGGGTATCTAGGGAGATCTTGTCTTTCCCTGTTTCTTATTATCTCCTCCCTGGGTCTAGCAGGCTAGCCCAGTAGCTAGTGGGACTTACTGTTCTTGCTGTCCTCACATAAACCTAGCTCAGCAGCAGGGAGTTCTAGGGGAAATGTACCCTGGCTCTTTGGGTACCACACAGTGCTCAAACAACTGCCCCCATGTGCCTTGTCAGAGGCAAAGAGGGGAGCACATCTCTTCTGGCAGCCCTGGCTACCGCCTGCATGTAAAACTTGCCCTGTCTGTGAAAGCCAGTTGGAAGACTGGGAAAGATGGATGTACCTTTCAACAGATTTGGGGAGGATGAGAAAAGCAACCAGAACTTAAGTTTCAGAAGTTTGCTAACAGTTAGAAACTACAATGTTCTTCAATGTACCTATACACTTCTTTGAGGGCCTAAGAGTAGGCCCACCTGGTAGGAAATAAAGTCAGACTGACAAAACTCTCTTTTTTATGAAGGCTCATTTGAATGAAACTTAACACATTATAGATCAATGTAGTATAGATTAATAATTGCTATTCTGACTCCATCTAAAAGCAACAGCTGTTTTACATGTAAAATATTGTGCCTTAATATGTTGTGCCTTAATAGGGACTAAAAGCAACCACAAACAAGTGTTTAATGGTAGTTTTGATGTTGTTGAGATGAAACAACTTGTGAATGCAGTTTGGCAATACATTCCAGAGTGAGAATCATGACAGAAAGTGCACAATACTCATGAGACTTGAAGATAGTTTTAGTAATGGATTAAAATACGATGCTACTTGAGAGGAAAGGACACAGCTTCCAGGGAGGATGTGATTGCCTAAGGAAATATGCAGAAGTTGTGGCAAATATAAAATGCACCTTCAGATTGATAATAAAGTTATTTTAAGACAGATAGAGCCTAAATGCTTCTTTATACATAATGTTATATGTAAAGTCCACAGTAATCAAACCTTCTTTAGGAATCTCTAAGCAAATAAATAACATTTATACAGAAGGCAAAATCCTGTGCTGGAAATATGAAAAATCTATTCAAAAGGCATTCCTTCTTTTTAAAATTATGTATCCAGGGAAGACAATAATTAATAACGTTTAGCATTGAAGTTCCATATTCAATTACTGTTCTAATCATCTAATTCAAATTAAGTTGCAGTTAAATAAGAGTAATAGAAGATGGCTGCATTTAACCCTTTGTGCTTGTGCTGTGCCAATACATGACCATAACATGCACTTTCTCTTTTGTTCAGGAGAGCCGCAGGAAGGTCAGTTTCACACCTGGAGGTCTGTCTAGACCACTAGGTCCCTAAGAAGAAAACATGTCTCTAATCCCACTGCATCCAGTTTGCCTTTTCCATGAACAAGTGAATTTGTTGCAAAGGGCCTATTCACTGCTACACTTCCTAAGCAAAGTGCTCCATAAATTGTATCCTTTACTGTAAGGTACTGCAAGTTACATTTAAGTAATTCCACCAATACAACATGCACGTTTGCTTTATTCTGACTGGTGATACTGGAAATCATAGTTAGGAGAATGCTATGTAGATTTAAATTAAAAGAAAATTGAAACTAATTCAATTCTAACTAATCAGAAAGGGTTTTGCCACTGATATTTACCTCTTTCTCAGTGTTTGCCTGTGGAAGCATCATGAGAGGCACTGCAGATCTCACCGTTTACTTCAGTTCCCAAACATGGGTGTAAGATTGTGAAAATATAACAGAAAAGTAGGTAACATAAGCTCTTCATGAACTCATTCTTGCTGCTCCATCTTAGAATATCCATGAGTTAAACCATGCTTGCTTGGGTTTGAGGCAGAGCAGGATGTTGGAATATTGGGATTGCACTTTTGCATCTCACCTAGGACCTGCATTTGAGTACGACTTATAACTGTTGCACCTAAGAATCAGAAGTAAAGCAGTCCAGTGCAGGACAGGTAAGCAAATTATCCTTAACATTAGTATGTAGCTGTTGAATGTGCACATTGATCATGTTTCTTGGTTGGTGTTCAAGTTGATGATATGGAGTGTGTCTCCTCTGCATAGCGCTTGGGGTTTAATCTGTGACAGCAACATAAGCAGTCCATGAAAGTTTGCAGGAAACCAGCAACTTACTCTTAAGACACGAGACAGTATGTTACGTACTCATGCCTAAGTGTAGTGCACGTATTCTCTTACTATTTAATTCTGAACTAGTTTATAGCACACTACTTTTGAATTTTAGTTCATTTTTATAACACAGATTGTATCATATAAAAAGAAATACCACTGATTAAAAATACACTTCCCAGGGTTCTACCTAAAATGCAAATTCTTCTGTATTTTTCCTACTTGGCACCAATGTTACCACAGTGGACCATTAATACAATTATACCCCAAACTGAGTAGCAAGCATAAAAGAGATCCTAAAAGTTGAAGTCTCTGGAACTCAGCTCAATAATGATAATCCTGGTCTCATCAAGTTAACACGAACAGGACTTTTTGTGTGTGAACATGCTCATCATGTACCTCTGACAAATCAAGCAGCAGAGATCCTCTGTTCAGTGCTGCTGTGCCCTTGGGCATCCTTGCATGCGCCCTCTTATTCTGCCTGGAAACCCCATCCAAGTGGGATCTGAGGATCCTGAATGTTTTCCTGCAGTATCTCAGTGTCCTCTACGCTGATGGAAGCAAGAATCCAAACAGGCATTAGTTTTCTCAAATGCTGTTTTTTGTTTTCCCTTTCTTCACCGTGGTATAGAGAAACTCCTTAGCGCCTAATGAGTCGTGCTAACTACACACTGCTGCCTCCCCACATCGCGCTCTCATCTTGTTTTGCTCTTCTCCGGCTAAACAGACGGGAGCTCTGAGCAGCTCGGGGAGGGCAGCAGCCTCCCA